TCCAATCTTGTGGCTGTCTCCTGGTGTCTCTCTGCTTCTTTAGACTCATTTTCCCTCTTGGAAATTTTTCTCTAACACTGGAAATAAAAAATGGTAAATTATCACAATAGAGAACAAGATAGAGACAAATACCCTCACAACAATACTTATACTTTACATAGTAAGAGGAATTTTGTTTTTAAACAAAAGGATTCCATTTCCTTTTGTAATTATAAACATAAAATATTATTTTTCTATATAAAAATACATATACAAATACATGGTTTTATTTGCTTATATATTTTAATACAACGTATAAATATATGTTTCTATACACACACCCCACATGACTGGTAGCACTGTTGTGTAGCACAGGAAGAGCTTTAACTGCTTCCCACAGTCGGGAGAGAGGCTGCTTACTAGACTGAAGGCTGACCTAGGACAGCAGTTTATGCTCATCCCCACACTGCTAGAAGGAACTGGGGCACCGAAATCGTTGTTATCTTCTCACTTGTGAATTTATCACAACTCTCTCCAACACCTGACAGAGAATCTCTTCTTCAAAAGAAGCAGACTCTACCTAACTGGTGACTGCCTACAGCTCCACTGCTGAAAGAACATCTAAATACATTTCAAAATAAGGGAAAAAGTTATCAGAATCAAGGACTATCAAAACTTACTAACAAGTTTGTTACGCAAGCAGACAGAAGAATGGAGCTCAAATTAATGTTTTAATTAGCCGTAACAGTAATTTTAGAAATACACAAAAATCTAATAAATTCAACAGCATTCATTAAGCACATGAATGTAAAAATACAGGCTAATCCTAAGTCCAGAAACATGAAATTTGTCTCCTCCTGTTAAGTGTATCAGCTCTAAAAATTTCTAAGCTTGTTTTTTCCAAGTCCAATTATTTAATAGCACCCACTTATTTTACTATGATCAAGCAGGTGCTTAAGCATGAACACAGAAGTTTAAACATCTAACTTCAGCTTCTCCAGTAAGAATCTAGGTTAGTCTTTTCATAGTTACTAAAATTCTTAAAATTATGCCCTTTGAAAACCAGGAGTTCTTATCAGAAAGATCATGCAGAGAAACCAATATTTGAGAAGTTTCTTTCAGATTATTTTGCATCCTGCAGATCACTTGATTTATATACACATAATTTATGAAGATGCTTTATTACTCAGTACATGCAGATTAAGAACAAATCCCTAAGTCTTTATTTCACCATACTAACAAGCAACTTGGACAAAATACCAAAAAGATATCCTTTTTAGATGGGAAAAGGATATACCCTTACTAAGCAACAATGCACAAGTAACGGCATGAACAAATTAACGAGTAGCCAAGACAGACTGGAATAAAGTATAAAATACTCGCCTTAACCAACTACCTTGCCTATTAGAAAGCCATACAACCTTCAAACACTGTTTTGATGGAAAGAAGTTTCCTACGACTCAACGTAATTAAAACACCATTTAGTTACAGTTACTTTCAGTGCAGCTTAAAGTAATTTTTACCTTTTAAATTAATATTCATTACCTGCATTTGTCACAACAGATCATATATCCATCATCATGTGTAAAGCCACAAATGCATCTGGTAATATCAGTTCCATAGCTTCCATCCTCTGACGTACTGATGGTAGTAGCACTGGAGGTTTCATCAAAGTTGGGAGTGGTAAATATGCCTACTTCATTCTTGCTTATAAGCACTGATGGAGGAGGAGAAGCTGGAGGCGTTGGAGGAGGCCGAGCACCATAGTTATGGTCCTAGATTTTTGTTGAAAGAGAAGTTATAGCTCTTAAATATTCACACACTGATGGTTATTTAAGCCAAAGTGTAAGAATTCATTTTGTAAAGAATTTCAGAGACTTATTTTTTAGTAATAATTTAAAATTTTGTTCTGTCATTGCTCATTCTTGTTTTTTTCTGCTTCTGATCAACCATCTTTAGTCAACTTACTCAACTCCCAATAAGATATAAAAATGTTAAGCATGAATCAGAGCTTTTCCAGTTAAGAACAGCAGATTTTACATAATCAATTTTATACAGAATACTTAGCGTGAAACTTACTGCATAAGGCAAACCAATGTAACTGTGTGAATGCGAGCTGCTGGTATACAACTGGTGCGGATAACTGTTCGATTTTTCAACTACCACAGGGCTAGCTTCTACAGATTCTGGTCTGCAAGGCAAAAGACAAAAGAATAAATAACATCAATATGTAATTTATATTAATAAATTACAGGTACTTGCTACACAACTTCTAATTAATTGCCTGCTGTTCCTGTTTAAACGAGTATACAAAAAAAAGGGGGGGGGGGGGGGGGGAAAAAAAGCCCCAACTGCCCCTCACCCCAAGGGAAAAAAAAGGAAACCCAACCCCCTTCTTTCATCTGAAGTGAAGCTTCTAGAGTGGCAGAGAACTTATGCCTCTGCAGAGTTACAAAATTTTTCTCAAAAAAGTGCATGCTGCCTGTTGATGCCCATGCAGTCAATGTGCTGCCAAACACTTTAAAAAAAAAAAAAAAAACCACACACACCTGTTTATTTTAAGTACAATTTTAAAAATTATGTGCATAACACACACACACACACACAGAGCGAGCCATGTCACAAAAATGTGCCATAAGCTGCAAATCTGGGACAGAAAAGTGTGTTACACACTTTGTCAAGGAGTCATCCATCAGTATGCCCAAGTCTACAGAGTTGTAAGAGAAGCTGCAGAAAGCACTTCAGCATAATTATGACAAAAGACAGAAGCAGTAATTCAGAGAGCTGCAAACTGGTATCGCCCTGCACTACCACCAATCCTATTCAATTCTGCAATGACATCTAGTGGCAGCGTTAGCGTACCACCCACGACTGTCCATACCAACCAGTACTCGAGGCAGCAGAGTACTGTTCCTACAAACAGAAATCCTATGCAGGGCAAATCTATCTAAAAAAGACAGTTTATGGATTTATCTTAAAGAAAAAAAAGATAAAAAATTGCGAGAAGGTTTTGTAGTGAAAGGCAGTGCCTTAATACACAAACTATGGTTTACATGCACTAAACCACAACATGAAAGATAAGAAACAGAAAGGAATACTAAAATAGGAAGATCTTGAGCACAAGAAATAATAGCTTCATTACCTTTCCTCAGCAGCTACATTCATGTGTGCATGCAAGCATATACATACTCTCATGACCGAGACATTTTTAGTCAGCACCTTGTAGGTTTTTCATTGCACCATATGATTCAAACACACTAGGACAAACTTCACACGAACCCAGAGTTACCTAAAGTTCTGCTGTTGTTTTTGTTTGGGTTTTTTTGCTTTGTTTTGTTTTTTTTTTAAACATTGAAAAAGCAGGGCAAAATATCAGTATCTAAAACTGAAATGGCTTCTGACTCGCATCACAGATCAAGCCTGGTTCCCTTTTCTAATTTTTGTTTTATTATGTGTGAAGTCTATTTGCCATCACAAATATCTCAATTCCCTGAACTGATTTTTTTAAATAAAGTTGCTATTTCTGAATCTTAAGTTAAAGTGAGTATCAGTGTTTTTTCTCAGACATTAAGATATTAAATAGAGGCTTTTTTGTTATGCCATGAACTGATACTATTCTAATTTAAAAGAATACCAGAAACTTACATTTGTTGGCAATTTTTTTTTTGTAAGAATACAATTAATCAGTAGCTTTCTGAAAACAACATGCAGTATTTTCACATCTACTTGGAAGTGTCCCACTAATGTTTTTGGTAGCCCATTTCTTCTTACTAGCTTCTCCCCATCTGAGGTTACTACATGATAAATTGTTTAAAAAGAAACACTAGTTAGAAACACTACTGGGTGAAGACTTTAGTTTCTAAAGTCCAAAAGAAAAATATCTTTTTTAAAACATTAATGTCTAACAGCCACCAGCTACATTTTTTTAGAGAGCGAGCAAACACGAGTGCACAAATCATGTGAAGTACTAACACTAGAAATACAACTTCTGACTAGCATGAGATAAAAACCATCTCCAATGACACTTGCCCTTTATTACCTCATAAACCCCAAAAAATCCTCATTTACTCTCTTACACCACTTCTCAACTTGAAAATAATTTTATTCAGTTTGTTGGAATTATCTTCTAGAAGCAGCTCAGAATTTGCCAGGTTCATCAAACCCATGACTATAAAAAAAAAGGGGGGGGGGGGGCAAAAGTTGGAAAAGCTGTGCCTTTCCAACAGATTTGCCTTTACCTATTTACTGACATAATGCATTTGTGCAGTAATCATGCACCATCAATGTCATCCAGCTAATCCTTCTGATGATCTAGCCAATCAAAATGCCAATGAATGAAGCACTGACTACCCATCCATCATGGCTAGGACAGAAATTAACTTATCTTTCTCCAGTTCAAGAGGGTCTTGACCACTGTATTGCTTCTACTGCTATTCTTCAACATCTACTGAACAGGACAAGCAGTAGCACGGTTACTCTTATCTACTATGCGTTCAATGCTCAACCTAGGTCTTGTTTGCTTCAGTATATGGACAATAGTTTTCAGAGCAGGAAGGCTTACTGACACTGGGGGGGAGGGGGCACGGAATTCAGGTACAATCCATCTTTCAGCAATGCCACAATTAATTTAGGAGAGTTTCTTTCCTAAGTATTACCACAAACTAAACACCAGCTACTTCAATATGGGAGCATTCAGTGAAAGATACCAGAATGGATATGTCCTAAAAAGAGAGGTCATGCATATTTCATAAACTGACTACAAAAATAAAAAAGGTATTCTTAATCTCTTGAAAAATAGATGAAGCAAGACAATACACCCTACTCCCTAAATCCATTTCAACCTACTCTAGCAATTCATAAACCACTTAAGAGAACCAAGAATATTAAGAGGCATAACAGTTGTGGGAAGCAGAAGCACTAAGCTTCCAAAACAAAATACAGAAAACAAATGCATTTATCCCCAACTATTTTAATACTCACAAACCAGATTCAGAGTACAGTGTTAAAAAGGAAAAAGCACAGCTTTACTTGAGCAGGTAAAAACAGAGAAAGGGTGCAAGAAAATTAGGTGAGATGCAAAGGCAATTAAACCTTTGTATTAAAAAAGTTTTAACATAAATACAAAATTAGAGCAGAACAAGCCTTCAGTGAAGATTTTTCAAATGCTTATCCAGGGGGCCACAGATACTTCTTTAAGTTATAACAGATGCTCACCAGAGCTTTGAACATAACTGTTACTGTTCCATTTATCCACTCAAATGCTAGACTGGGGTGTGGAACAGTGTGGAGGAGACTAAGAAATATGGGAAGGAGGTGGTGGAGCATTCACTGAAGCCAGAAATTAATCATCACAGGTTTCCTTTACAGTCAATAGAAAAGTGACAGCCATCCCATAAGCAGTACAGAACGAGTATAATTTCTCCACAGAATGACAATCTTCTAACTTTGGCAAACAGATCTGCCAACATTTTAATATGCCCTTCACTGAATTCCTTGTTACCCCTCTTCTGCCCACTGTGTGCATGACCCTGACCTTAAACAGAAAACACACCTTCTGTACTATCACTTGTTCAAAGGTCAAAGCCGCCTTCTCAAATAGGCACCTCAGAATTGCAGAGTTTTGTGAAGGAATACCTCTTGGTAAAATATTTAATGGTACAACATATCAAAGCATGCAATACCACCCCATTTAAAAATCAATTTTTAAAAGTTTTTTTTACTCAAGTAGCAGGGCTGAAGTAGCAAGGCACTAACTACTGTATTATAGACACCCACCCTAATGTCACCATTGGCATTCTTATGGGCATTCCAAAAAGCAAGTTTTCAGGAAGAAAAGCGTAAGCATTCAGATCTGAAAGAACACTATGAGGTTTTCCTTGCTTGTATTCTTGAACATAACCCAGTTCTGTAACAGACTGAGGTACTAAGCTTGTCAGTCTTCTGAGCATACCACATTTTTGAGCTTCACCTCAAACAGCTGCACTCTTGGTATCTAACTAAAGGAGGTATTTATGGTACTTTTAGTTTTCATCAAAACTGAAATGCCTGTATATATATAGCATATTTGAAGTTAGACCAATACCCTAATATTATGCCCTAAAATAAACAAATATTACCATGACAAACTGACCATGACATATTGCTAAAACATCATGTATATTTGTTAGGTGTTGTGGTTAACAATTTGTAACTGCACAATATTCACAAGGAACAAAATAAAAAGCACCACAAAAAGAGCTTCCCCCCATGCTCCTGGGCTGCCATGATCTGAGACATTCTTGTAACTTGAAAACAGGAACATAGTATTTTCTCTAATGAATTAAAAAAAAAAAAAGCAGAGATACCTGTATTTTTCAAAACCCCCCAAATAACTTTCATTCTGCAAGTGAAAGAACTCTCATGTTCTGGGTCATTTCCTACCCTTCATATTTAAAAATACAATGCAAACTGAAAATAGTCTGCATGTTGCCAGCAGATGGCATTAGTGAGAAATTAAATAAGCGACACATGAGATCCAACACTTTACAAAAATCCCAGTCCCTACAAGCTTTAGTTAACCTATATTAAGGGAATCAACTATCAACCATTCTAAGCCATAGTCAATTCTTCTTTAAAAAGTCTTGTCTCCCCCACTTTATCCCTTTTAAATACTGTTTTATTTCTGACCATGTAATAATTAGAAAAAAAAAAAGGGGGGGGGGGGGGGGGGGGGAGTTGCTGAACACCCAAAATACACTCAGTCCTTAGAATCTGAGGCCATCAACCACTTCTACAAAAATGTAGCTATTCAAATGGGAAATAAAATCTCACTAAAACTAAAATTTTCAGAGGCAGGTGGGTATCCAAGCTTTAGGCTATGAAAACTTAGCTAATAGTACAAAACTCCAAATGAAAACCTCTTGCTTCCAAGAATGCTTCAGCAGCATCCATCTGCCATATGCCACTTTGATAGGTCTAATTTTCAAGGAGTTCAGGTTTGTTTTCCCTTTGGCACCAGCACACTTGAGCAGTATCTGGCTGAAGGTCAGCTCAGATAAAGAAATATAATACATTTTGTATGAAAAACAGTATTTTGTATTTCAAGACACTTATCTAACCAAACACACCTGATGGGCTTCGCCACCTAGACAACGAAGAACTGAGCACTACTTCTCTACCACAGCGTGGGTTCTGCTACCTAAGTATCTCACAGGCCCCACAAGCACAGGCTGGCCTAATACCATCTGTAGGAACTGGCAAGCTTCCCACTGTCCTAAAATACTTAATAAATAAATAAACCAATAAATCCCTGTTTCAACAACAGTCATGGAGGGTAGGTTTTCATTTATTTAAGACTACAACAAATGTTCTTAATCATTTCTCCTGGATACTGAACTCAATACAATGACCCATATACTGTGGTTCTTGGGTTCATTACACATATATTATAAACAGGAGAGCAATAGCATCAATGGCATTTCCCAATGTGTAGCTTATACTCATGTTCTAAGCTAGACTAACGCTCTTAAGTCAGGAAGCACATTCTGAACCTTCCAAAATGGCTGGCTCTGCTTACTATTACAAGGTCTTTAACAGTAAGAAGTCATGCATATTAATCTTTAGTAAGCCTTTTACAAATAAAGGCAAAATATATTATGTGTTCTGATTACTATGGCACTATGACAATCAATCCACCACTGGAGACCTCACTTAGGTACAAGTAACATAAGAGACTATTTCACACAACTTTTAAGACGTTTAAACCTTTTAATAAGAGTTATTGTCACACAGCTATTTGCTACCGTTCTTAAAATAATATGTGAAATCATGTAATCACATAAACTATCCACTTTTTTAATAGGCTTATCCCTTAGTTTGAAGCATAAGGAAAGATCTCTTAGCACTAAGAGACTGCACTAAGCTGAGTTTTTTCCTGGGTTCCTTCTGCTACATCAGCAGGTTTGCCATTCCCCCATTCTTGTGTTTGCTCATGCTTCAGCAACGGATGAAGCAATATCACACCTGTCAGTCACAGTGAAGAAATTCCAACTCCTCCCTCTTGGGAAAACCCCAGAACTTGCTCGAAGACAACCTATGCTTGCTACCAACACAAACTATATCCAACATGCTACACTCTGGAAGAAAACATACAAAAACCATGTAAATCACATAGATGGTGACAGAAAAGGTTGGTAACTGTATAAGCTGGTAGGTTAGAGACACACCTTTGTGTCACACTTCTTTAGCCAGTGACATGGCTTTTAAATCAGTGTAAGCCAATCATGCAACTACACTTTTTTTTAGCGTAAGTATGGCAGATGACAAGAATTAATCTAATTGGTAACAGTCACTTAACATCTGAAGAAAAGCGGTTCTTAACTGGGTCACCTGCCACAGTATCAAGCAAGTAACACACTATGAACTCTATCTTGTTTATACTGACAACTGTATTTATTTATTTAAATTTCAGCTGGGTCTGCAAGGAATGTCAGCAACCTTGGGAATCATGACCTCCTCTAAACATAGAAGAAAACCACAGGAAAAGATAATGAAAAGAGCTGTGAACAGGTCACTCAAAAAATTTTCTGCAACAAGGATACTAGCATTCATGATGTGAGAGGTCAACAAAACAACTTTAAAAATTTAGTGTGACAAAAAGCTTCAAATTGCAAATTTTTGGTTTTCTTCAGGTAAATGGCACAAAGTCAGAATAGCCTCATATATAACTGAAACCACAGGGGAGACACATTCCTTTAAAAAGCTGTTCAAGAGTTCTGCTCACAGTGCGTAACATTTCTTTCAAAGTTTGGACGGAAAGCCATTTGCTTCTTAAACAGAGTAATATTACTTAGCACACACTCTCGAGCAAAGACTGTGTGTAAGCTATTTAAATTCGTGTTAGTTATTCAATGCACCTGTTAAATGAAAGACCACTTTATGAAGTTTATTTTTGATTTATGAAAGATTTCAAGCATGTATGTAAAATAAGTCTAATCCACTGTTTCAATAACTAAAACAAGCAGTACACTGGTAAAAGCTGTAACGCCACCTTGGCCTTTTACCTCTGAAGAGCCAAGTTGTCCAAAATGCTATTTCTCTCATAACATTTGACAGCCAAGTCAATACTACACACATGGAAAGATGTTTGTTTGACAGGAAGAACCTCCAGAGATCAACAATACCCAAACTCTAGCCTATTGATACTCTACAGATTCAGACACTACTAGAGGAAAAAAAAAACCAAAACACCAAAACCCCCACACTCACACAAAAAAACCCACCCCAAACCACCCCCTCCCAAAACAAACAAAAAACCACCCCCACCTCCACCCCCCAAAACCCCAGAAATTCACTATGCTTATTTCATGCAATTGAAGAGTTTATTGAATTCAGCATTTCATCGGCTCTTTGTAATCTTTTCTACACAGTTACTAACTGAAATGAATGATTAACAAGTTAATTTCTACCAGCTTTTCAATATAAAATAACTTTGTGAAGACACAGTATTGGACAATTAAGCTAGGCTTTCAACCTTCATAAATAAAGGCACCCTTGTCTAATTACTACCACCTTCTTGCAATTTACCACACCAAATGAATTTACCTTTCTAACATGGGAAATCAAAAATATTTTTTTACAAAGGAAACCGAAATGGCAGAGCACTTTTAAGCATGAAAAGCAAACCAGGCAGCATCTGTATTTCTCACTCTGATAAGCAAGAAAAGTATGTATCTGTAGAACAGGCTAGCTTCTCTCCTTTGCTCTCCCTGAAGAGGAAGAAACTAAGGAGACTCCTAAGTCTTCTCCGACTGTATTAAAAAAAGAGATAAGAAAACTTACAAATTATGTTCACATACTTACTCTGAGCCTGCAGCCATTTCCAAATAAGTAGTATCTGCTGTGTCAACCCCCAATGGGATCACTATGCTCATGACGTTCGTTTCTGATAAATTCGATTACTACGGAGTCCTATGCATTGGTATCCAAAACACTGGGGCATGCCAGCCACAGTGCTCATTGCAAACATCTAAGTGCATCCACAAACCCTGTTCAAAGCACAAACAAAAAACACAGAAAACTGAGTCAGTTCATTTTAAAAACAGGCAATTTTACATCACTTAAAAAAAAAAACAAACACTTTCATCTGTCACAATGATTTCATTAGTTTTATTTTACATAAGCATAAAGAAAACATCCATCTTCTTTAAAAAAGTTAACTTCAAATACACTTACTTTAAGAGTGTGATGATCTTAACTCCTGAACTTAAAAATATTACAAACTGACAAAAATATTCTAATTTAAATTGGTGATTAAAAAAAAAATCATTCATCACATTGTGACGCAACAAAGATTCACTTTATGGCAGATTTACTGAACATCTGCTTACTGCTCTACATTGTCAGAGCCCAGTTGCTGTACCTTTCAACAGAAACCTGGTTAAAGAATTTTTCAAGTATTTCTTAGAGAGCATTGTTCACTTTTGTTTTGCACTTCAAAAAAAACCAAACAACCTTTCAATGTCCACAATACAAACTAAGGATGTCAAAAGCAATTGTCATCACTTCCATTCAGTATTTTTTAAACCAAAATCATTCTAATGATTCACAATAATGATATGAAATAATTTCCATCTCATTTTAATAGATCATCAGAACATAGTATACTATCAGGTGCCACTTTCAGAAGTGATTTTTTTTTTTTAAGTAGTAAACTAGAAAGAATCAGTAGTAGTTTTCAATTGCAGAGCAAAGCTACAATATGCTTGACTCACACAAGTGAATACAACAATCCTACCTGTATGCCAGCTACTACTAGTTTCTCACTCTTACTGAGCAGGGCAGAACACAGCACCTGAGCTGTCTCTATTCACAGATTAGTAAACTAACACATTTTTATAGCCTAATATAGACAAGGTTTTCTACAAGTGGCTAGGTAGTTGAAGCAAAATATCCCCCCTTCAAAACTGCATAATGAGTAATTACAAACTCCTTCCAAAATGTTGAAGTCGGAAGAACACAGACCACTTTGCAATGAAGTGCATGCAGTGCCTAATAAATATACTCCTCCCATCTGACAAAGTGTAGCATCTTAGCTGAAGTCTACAAAAGCCCAACAGTTTTGAGATCAACATATTTTAACAGCCTCATCCTTGCCAAACACTAGATTGCCAAGAAAAAACTAACAAACCTCCAGTGAAAAATGGGGTACTTATAAAAAGGACTTCAGGAAAGCATTGTGGACTTAAATGTGCATCTGCTCCTTTTATCAGTAAAGTCAGTATCTTCAGGATGATGAAGTGGCATCTACAGGGCATCTCTAAGGTATGAACTCGCATCAAGCCTTCATCTAACTTCTTGAATTTTATCCCACTGCTGAACTCTGGCAATTAACATCAAACATCTTGGCATGCTCTTAAGTGCCTAAACCTTCTACAGTTCATTCTCCCTCTAGACAGCAGAAGTTGTGTTTTGGTCCCAAATACACCAAAAAGTCACCAAATACAATGAACTGGAAAGCAATCAGGCCACCCAGCCACTGGGATAGCTTACTTTCCTCATTTAAACACTGAGCATTTTCTTACCAAATACCACAAATGTCAAACTACATCACTAGCTGTTCATAAAACTAAGGAAAATCCATACTATTTTCAGGAATAAGCAGCAAGACAAACCTGTTAAACCAAAAGCAAGTACAGAGTATTTTTAGTAGGTAGCATAAAAGAAACCCCAAGCCCCTCTTAGAATTTAAGTGAGCACTCATTCTGCCACCATATGGTTTACTCTATTCATAGGGTAGAACCCTGAATGACCTCATCTGCAACTTACAGTAAATATCAGCTTACCATTTAGTTCTCTTCTTCTGAGAAAGTAAAAAATTTTTATTAATTCCTACCCCATAATTGAAAGGAAACCATCAACTTTTTTTAGTCCAGGTAAATTGGCTATCACAGGTTAAAGGCTGTTCCACTACCAACTGCAGTTTCACCTCTGCTAACAAATCATTAGCATAACAGAGATTTTATTTTATGTTTGTTATTAGATAACTCTAAAAAAACAGTTTTAATGTGTTTCAAAGTAGGTCTAGAAGACATACTGGACACCACTGCCTGGGATCAAGATCCTCACTTAAATAGACGTTTCTTGCCCTTAAAATTGCTTTTGGTGGTGGTGTGGGTTTTCTTACTGAATTTTCTTTAAACACTTCTGACCAAGTAGAGTAACAACTGAAAATTAATGTAGGCAAAAATGCCCACAAGACTGATGGAAGTGAAGAACCTGCCTTAACATAGCTGCCTCGTGGGCTACGACATCTGCAAACTTACATAAAACAACTGAGGTTACCCAATCATCAAAGTGACCTTCAGTGTCAACACAGAAAGAAGAGATGCAGTTACCAAATCTGAGAATCAAGTGAAATCTGGTTGGTTTTTTTTTTTTGTAAAAGTAACACAGAAAAAGAAAAGCGTGCTATGTATACGTTTTTAGAGCTATGTATAGATAGAAAATTAATTGCTAATGCATGGCCCAATTAATGCCATCATCTCTGACTACCCAAATACATCACCACTCTTATAAGGAAAAAAGAAGGGATGAGGGAACAGAGCCAAGATAAACTTCTTACCCTACTACAAGCTATTGAAATACGTCTTTAAGCCTTAGTCAGAATTCACTCAAAAAATTCTAAGAGGCTAATCTACACTGAATAAAATCAAAGACTTAAGGAACTCAAATTTATTTTGCCAAACAGCATTAAAGAGAAGTTTCACCTAAAAGGACGCAGAACATGATTGTAATACTCATAAAATCATAGAATTGTTTAGGTTGGAAAAGACCTTTAAGATCATCCAGATTATTTTTTACCATCTTAAGATTTCAGGTCTTCACCAAACACAAAACCCTCCAATGCTTTTTCCTCTGCCTACAGTTGGTATGGAAGAATGGAGGTATGCCTGTAGTATGGAAGAATGGAGGCAGTCACCGGCTTGCAATACCTACATGTACAAGTTAATTCAAACAAACATAGCTCATTATTTATGAGCAGCCATCCTCAATGAATTCCCATAATGGGGGGAAAGGGGCGCGCGGGGCAGGGACCCACGACAAATTCATTACACTATGCCACTATGCCCACTTACTAACAGAACTATGACCTTATAGGCCATCCAATGATGGACACCACAGTGATGCCAGATTTGGGATGAAGGAAAGTAATTATTTTCTGTCATGTCAGAACCAGAAGTGTTGTCACGACACACTAAAATATTTCCAGTATTTTTACTGGATTTTACTACAAAAATTGAAAAGCTCAGAGCAGAAAATAATGTAACCACTGAGGAACTTTCTTCCTTATCCATCTTAAACGTGATTGCTTATCCTTTGAAGCTTGATACTTTAGATGAGTCATAAAATACTATCTGCTACCATGATATGGTACTTTCCAATTTCTGCAAGTACACATCTATTTCAAATCACTCCTCTTTCAGAATTCTGACAATCTGTCACCCATGGCCTTCTAAGAAACTGTTTTCATAGGTGCATTTCATTTAAATAATTGGCCAGGAGGAGTGGAAAGAAGGGTGCTAGAGAAGATGACTTCCTACAATCAAAGCAGATTATACACATTTTACTGTTTAATATAGTCTTTCTTCAAGCAGTACATGAATTTGAAAGTTAGAAAGACCATGCTGGTTTGTCCAGTTAATTTCAGAGTCATATCGTTCAAAGGCACTATATAAAAACTGCTGGTCCAAAGTTCAGTGACCAGCTCTTTACTGGGCAAAGTAGCTCATCAACCATACCTTAATCTCAACTGTAGAGGACCTCCAATTTTGTTAGGGTACACTATTCTTTCAGTGACTGTAAGCTTTGAAAGAATCTTGGCCATTTCTTAGATTCATCAGATTGTCTTCATTACCACCCTACCAGCACAGCTTTATTACATGAAAATACACTCCCTACTGGAAGAAATTTTGCTTTTATTTAATTGCAGTTAAAAGTTTATCTTACCCTATTAATATGATGTTCATCTTAAAAAACAAAAAACTTTTTGTTCAATCTGGTTAAAGCATTTATCTTGCACAAGATCAACCTCCCGCAAGAAACTTATCACACTTTACCATCCAATCACATTGGTTTACATTTTTAATGGCAGTTCTTCTCTCTACAGAACACACAGAAGCTTTTTGACCTAATAGCCATACCAAGTCTAAAAATATTTGAAGCCTCACCATACTTCTCATGATCCACTTTGTTTATGATACCAGAACCACTTTTTTTTTAAATGAATTGTGCTCTAACAACAGAAGTGTAAGAGCACAATACATTCCAAATTATTAATCTGTGTGGCTTTGTACAAAGAACATCATTTATGCATTAAACAACAGAAAATAACTTACATATTATCCCTGAGGTGTTCCACTTACACAACATTATTCTGCAGTCTAATGAAGACCGCATGTTTCTTTTCTGCCATATCCTTTTAAGATCAATTGTGTGACAGCAGAGGAAAAAACTTTTTCACTGGTACATGCAGGAGGAACAAACCAAATACAGAGGGCTCAACTCTTGTATCAGAAGGTAAATGGGTAATCTCCTGAAATTACATCAGTATTTTTGAACCTAATCCTTCAAGGTCCTAACATTCAAATCGAAATCCAGTTGCTATGATCAGACATTGGCAGAAATGAACTCCAGGCCTACTTTTATCAGCACGTCTTTTTTCCCCTCCTTCCACTTGCTTCTTGTAGGACCATGGAAAGCTATACAGAACAGTTGCAGGAAACAAGCAGATGATACATCACCTAGACAGAAAGTACACTTGAAAAATAGGAACCTGAAGTCTAGCCAAACTGTCCAGATGACTCCAACAAGGTTTCATAATCCCAGTTATCAATCATCCTCTAAGCGTCAAGGGTCCAGACAAACTCTTCCA